CTTCGCCGCTGTGTCGTCCCGAAGGACCAGACTCTCTTCGCAGGTCCGCTGCCTGCGCGCTCCCGTCGTACTGCACGGTCCCAAAATGACCTGCAGTGCTTGTGGCGACGCTCTCCACGGCGCCGCCGTTTTCAGTGGCGCCCTCCGTGGTACCGCCGGACTTCTCCTCTATACGTGCATCAAGTCCTCCGACCAGCTGCACCAGCTGGCCCATTTGCTGTGTCAGCGAACTGATCTCAGACCGCATGCTGTCGATCTGCTCGCTGCTATTTGTGTCTCCTGCCTGCGAGCCGTCCGGAGTGGTCCCTCCGGTTCTGCGGCCCGCCATCCCTAATGGACTCCCTCGAGGGAATAAACACTAGTGTGTTGGTATGTCCGTACTTGGGAGGAGAAGACACGTTTCAACTCTCTCTGATTAGGCACCCGCGGGAGCGAGGAAAGGAAGGGAAGAAGTGGCCCTCCCGAATTCGGGGAAGGGGGCCCACACATAGTAGCCTTTTTTCAGGCATATGCATGCTCCTGTCTACGTACCCCCCCGTGCTGCTAGCAGATCTACCATGCTCGTATCCAGACAAACGAACAGCTACAACCTTCGCGAGAATGTTCTCGTGGTACATATGTGTATTTCAACTGTCTGCCTACAGCGCTACATTTTGACTGCTTTTCTTGTTGTTCCCACCAGAGATCGCACACCATTATTACAGTGTTTTGAATCCCTCTCATTTATTCTGGCTCTCTTTTGCTTGCTCGTGCTTTGCAGTCAATCCTAGTTTGTACGTACTGGTTTGACAGAACCAAACGATCGGTGTCCCACGTTGGCCGAGGGATGCTGCCTACTCGGGCGACCTTAGTTTTTTGTAACTGTGTACCCCTCACTTTTGGCGGCCTGTTCGTTTTTGCACTCCGCGCGGGTGTGCGTAAAACGAATGCTACTGAATCGGCAACCAATACAGTCACATGCCTTCCTATGTTTGGCGGTGTCGGACTTGGCAGTACCAGCAAACGATACTTTCGCCTTCGCCCGCGCGGGAGGACCCTGGGATTTGGAATTATCCATATCACGTTTGTCGGTCCCCCGCTGAGCACGCCGTTTTCGAAAGATGCAGTTAGAGCTTGGTTGAAAGCGTGTTCAAGAGGTGGTACATTCAGCGAAGCTGTGCGTTCAGCTTTGGCTAGAAGTCTGGCATACGCGCGTGATACTCTGAGCGCAATCACGTCAACTGATTCGCCAGTCTTCGCTTTTAACGTCATGACATCACGTGCAAGAAGAGCAATCCGGTTGGCGGGAGCGAACGATGTGGTGAAAACCGTGACCCATTCCTTCCATGTTTTCGGAGGTGTGATTCGGACCACTTACCCACGTGCACGCAACGCATTTAGCTGAGCTGGCGGTTGCCATTCGAGAGATGAGCAAAGCATGAGGCTGAGACTTTGAGCTGCGGCACCTCGCACGGAGAGCGCGAGATGATTGCTTGCGCGGTGATCGACTGTGCTTTGAGAGACGTTGTCTGCAGACAACAGACCGATGTGTGCCCTGTNACCGTGACCCATTCCTTCCATGTTTTCGGAGGTGTGATTCGGACCACTTACCCACGTGCACGCAACGCATTTAGCTGAGCTGGCGGTTGCCATTCGAGAGATGAGCAAAGCATGAGGCTGAGACTTTGAGCTGCGGCACCTCGCACGGAGAGCGCGAGATGATTGCTTGCGCGGTGATCGACTGTGCTTTGAGAGACGTTGTCTGCAGACAACAGACCGATGTGTGCCCTGTAATGTGCTATTTTTCCGCATCATCTTCGTGAGGCAGACCCTCGAACTTGAGGTCATGAGGTAGGTCAGTAGCTTTCAAAGTAAATCGCGCCATTCTGGTCATGTCCGGGTTTACCGTGGTTTGGGTTACCGGGGTAGGGTTGTTCTGGTTTACCGTTGCTGGATTACCTGGTTCGGTGAGGCCTGGTTTACCGTGTTGTGGTGTATACCGGGTTAATAGGTGAAATTGTCGGTGTAGACATATTCCTAGCAGGGGTTTGTTGAACAGTTGTGCATTCCAGAGCGATTTTCTGCTTCTAGATCGGGGGCAAGCGAACGCGGATTCACCTTCTGGATGTCTTGCTGGTGAGCGACTCCCGGCATATGCATGCTAAGGACCCATGCCGGCGGGGCCTTCTCCGCCTCCACTGCCGTTGTGACCGCGCTGACGAGAACGGCCTCCAGCGGCCCGCCGCTTGCCAGAAGCGGTGCACTCTGCTGACTGGCGGCGTCGGCGCGCTTCTGCAGGATGTCGTGTGCGAGGTCGTCGTCGACGTTGTCGTCATCGTCATCGTCGTCGTCAGGGGGTGGGTCGGTGTCGAGGGTTTGGGTTCCAGCCTTGGCGCCGTCGCTAGCGCTGCTGTTGTTGTCGCTGTCGCGACCGTTACCGACCAGGGCGTGGAAATATCCGCGATGGTTACTGCTCTGCGAAGGTGCTACGCTCGCAGCCGCACCGGCGGATTCCCCAGCTTGGGCAGGCTTCGGCTGTCCCTCTTGGGGCTTAGCCGAGCCGTGGTTGGTAGTGGCAGCAGCGTCGGGACGCGGCGTTGCTGGCGGTTTTTGCGTCGTCAGCCGCTTTCGCTTTTTCTGCTGTTGCTGCTGTTGTTGCGACCCTCCGTCCTTTTTCTTCCCCTGCTTCCTTGGATTGGAGCCCATGTTTCACACGTAGGTTGAAAAGTTAGAACGCTTCGTCGAACGCCAATATGGAGCCCTCTACGCCGGGTGAGCGGAGAGTTCAGGGTTGTGGTGGCATATCCTGCCACCGGAGGTTGGCTATTTCCTTTGGCACAATGTGGCGAGGAATGCCAAGCGTGACCGAGCGAACTCAGTCAAGCTAGGATGGTGCGGAGAGCGGGCGAGTCTTCGTGGACCCATTTTCTTATTCTCCTTAAGATCCATCAACTCTTCGCAGCCGTTGGGAATCCCAAGAGTTGTGGACCCTCGGAGAACAGTAATCGATTATCACAAATTCCCTCAGATCCTACTCTTTGTGTACGTGTGTCTGTGCTCCCTGAATCTCCGTATCCTGACCTCCACATAAAGTGATATATATATATGTGTTGCACGTCGAGAGGCGCAACATGCGCTTTGGATAGAGAAAATGGAGCTGCAGCCAACCATTGGGGCGTGGTCGATGCTCTGTAGTAACAAGGTGAGCAGCAAACAGCGGTAAGATACGTTTCTTCAGTGCATGCAGCGTGCAAGGGGTGAGGCGTGAGGGTGTGGACCAAGCAGTACATCACCGTTAAGAAGGGCAGCATCGCGAGGTGGAGCGCACTGGAAACGTTCCTCGAGGGCTATGTATGGCAGCTCGAGAAGAAGAGCCGCGAGGGGGATCAGGCGGGTTTCTACAGGCACCTGAAGATGATCGACGTCGAAGGTAAGAGTTCGCTCAACTCTCAGAACATCAAGGACAAGGACGGCAAGGTCCTTCGGGACCCCACGTTTATTCGCCAACGGTGGGCACGGTGGTTCCACAAGCTTCTCANCCAACGGTGGGCAGGGTGGTTCCACAAGCTTCTCAGCACCAAGTCGCCGACCATCGACCTGCATGCGGGTGACAAGGTCAAGCGGTGGCCCACGTGCGTACCACTCGACGACATCCCATCTCTACTTGAGGTTGAGGAAGCGGTACGGGAAATGGCCAACAGAAAGGCCGTCGGGCCGGACGACCTACCGGCTGAGCTGATCAAGCGTTTCCTAAACGGAGATCAAGGTCTCCTCCCCGAGTTCAACGCCACTGTGGTGTACGTGTGGCAGACGGGGGACGTACCACAGCAGTGGAAGGATGCCACCATCAAAGTGCTGTTCAAGAAGGGGGACACGATGGAGTGCGGCAACTA